GGCTAATACCGTTAGCGGCAGTAGCATCACGTGAAATGGGGGTGCGCTCTTCACACTCATCGCTGATTAACACGAAAGTCGCCGTTACCCAAACCAAAGCTCTGACCTGATCTCGTCACAAGTGTTTCTCTACCCTCCATGTCTCCCTTTCGGTGTGACGGCTCCTGCAAAGTTGCCGCTTTGTGCTGCGCCTTTCGCAGGTAAAGCCGCATGTAGTCGCATCCACAGGAAGGTCGCGGCACCAAAATCGCAAGATCTCAGAAGCGGCCTGCAGTCGGTCGTTTCCTGCGGCTTACATCCCAGACGGGGAACTTGTCGTATCTCACACGCAACCTGTCGGCCACCGTTCGTGGACTCGGATCACAACAACCGCTGAATGGTTTCCAAGAAGCAGTTTCTGCCCCCTGATGGTAATCGTCAGCCCTGTTAGTGATTTCTGTCAGAGATGGTGCTGGGTCACCCTGTCTGTGGGTCTCTGCTTATCCAAATTAGTTTTTTTATAAAGAAAAAGAGAGAATCCCACAGTGGGGGCTGATCTGCAGCTGTGTGCATGTCCCCCAGCTTCTGTGAATGCTCTACATCTCAATGGATTGGTGCTGCAGTCCCTGATGACCCCCTCAGCCCTGCCAGAGGAAGTCCCCTCTCAGAGTCCTGGCCGCCAGTGCAGGCTTGGGTCGTCGGAATCGCAGCAGTATCGCAGCGTCGCAGCCCACTGCCCGGGGCCGGCTCCCGTCTCAGTGCTTCACGGCGCCATCTCGCCTCTTTCCAGTGGAGCGTCACGCTAATAGCTGTCAAATAAAGATTCCCGTCCGCCTGTCGCTTGGCTCTTTGGGATAAACACGGCCTGAGTGTTTCTGTAACACGGGCCGCGAGGGCTAAAAGCATTCAGCTGTTACACTTGTCATTACGGAGGATTTAAGTGATTTCTTCAGAACCAGATGCTCAACCATTCTGATGCCTCTGTCTGTGTTGCCTCTACTAAATGAGGCCGAATGTTGTCGAACTGTAAAATGTTGCATGCCGAGTTTGGGAGAGCTGGATATCACATGGAAATCAGCCATGTTGGTCACATGTCACAGCGTGGTGCTAATGTCTAATGAGAGGCGATGACGGGGGGGGGGGTGGGGAATTCTGTGTGATGTCAGAGCCCAGGATGCACTCAGACCCTGAACTGTGGAAACTGTACCCATTAAAGTACGTACCTGCTGTGGCTTGGCACCCCCGTGGTTCCTCGCAATGTGTGTTGGGAGCGAATCTCGTGCATGATGGGGGGGGGGCACCAGCACCAGCACCAGCACCAGCCTTGGTGTCGCTAATCGCCCGTTAGCGGTGGCTAAACCTCACTTTGAGATGCAGTGCTTCCTGGTAGGGAAATGTGTGTCATACTCTGCACGCTAAAAGCAGGGAGAGCCGTAAATGATGCATCTCTGACAAATAACCAAGGAGTGAGAAATGCAGTCGGCATTAATATTTCAGCGGGGGCAGATTAGACCAAGCGGGAGGGGAGGGGGTGTTGGGGAAGACCCGACCACGTGACACAGGGCCTCCATTATAGGTGATCGAAAATGGACCAAAGTGGGCGTTTAGCTTTTACCTGTGTGGCTTAAATATGCGTTTTAGTGAGGCGGCTGGACACCGCGCAGTGGAGGGAGGGGGGGGGCAGGTCCAGCGCCAGGACTCCTGTCTGCTTCTTAGTGACTGCCAAACCCACCCTAGTTGATCAGGGAGAGGAGTGAGTTGTGACCGCCAGACCTGACGCTGCCCCCCGCCCCACATCACCACAAGTGGGGGGGGGGGGGGGGAGCACACATCACAAATTAATCATATTTCCACCGCTAGTGCTGCTTGCTGTATGTCAGCTGACCCCCCACCATTTTATTTTTGGGAAAAACTGGCATCGTGACGTGGCCTCACCAAGACTTGCCTGCCCAAAAGTGCGTAACTCTGGCGGCGACACGTCTGTCGCCGTTTAGCGATATGCCGGTGACAAATGCATGAAAGGAGGGCCCTGGATTACTGCTCCATACATGGCAGTTTATATTTCAAAAAAGCCTCTGACGACACCCCAGATCTGAGGCCTGGCCTTCTGTTGAGTGGGTGGGGCCTAGTGGGCGGGGCCTCTGTAAATGAGGGGTGGGACGTGGGAAAGGAGGGAGCTCGCGGCCTTCTTGAGTGGAGGGTCAGCGTCCTTATTTTTGTGCCACTTAAAAACGACACCCAGACGTGCCACTGTGGACCTTCTGAAGGCGGGGGTGATGAAGGACGTCCGCATGCCCCCGCCGGGACCGGAGGGGGCTGGCCATTGCAGAGAGGCTCCCTAATGAAGGCTGATTGCAGATCAAGCGCTGTGCCGTTTATCTTGCCGGCCGATGGCAGCGCGGCTCCGGAGAGGAGTCTGACGTGAGAGCGTTAACTAGAGCCAGCTGGGACCTCGGCGAGATTAAAGTTACAACAAGAAAAACAATCAGACAGGATAAGTATAGTATCGGTGTGGGTTACCGCCTTCATCTCTGATCCCCATTAGGTCTCTCTCCACCGGCTGCCTGGCTGCGGATGTACAAATGGCACGGGGGTGGGGGTGGAGTCTCTCGCTCACTTTTACACTGGCACACAGTCTCTGATTAGGACCCCTTTGTTTGCTTTGATCTTCAACCGCCTCCCCCTTAATGCCAGGCTCAGTGTGTCTGCTATAGTGCTGGCTGCTCGCTACTCAAATGTGGTCTGAATCGGGGCAGGGGGGGGGGGGCGTGCATCTGCATGCGTCTGTATGCGTGTCCTCGCAGCGTGATGGAGGTATCGGCGTGGCGAGCAGCTTCCTGCGAGGGTGCAGACCCCTCGCTGTGTGGAGCTGGGAAGGATTCGTACGGATGTTAGCGTCGCGCACAGGAAGAGGCTTGCAGCCGGCCAAGGGGTTCCACGTCTCTCTCGCCGTGTGACGGCGGTTTTTTTGGGAAGCGAGGAGCGTCATGCCGGTGGGGAGGAAACGCAGGCCGAATGCCAGCCCCGTCGTGAAAGGAGCGAGCATCGCGTGGGGAGCAGAGGGAGGCGCACAGGTCGACGCGAATACCTCCGTGTGAATATGTCACCCTGATCTCACAATGAGGTGGATTAGGCTGCACTAGATGGGCTTTAGCGGCGTTTAGCGGCGTTTAGCGGCTTACGGGTCTTACGATAATACAGCACTCTCGTATTCCTCGTGGGGGGAGGCACGAGCGGTGGCACCGACGCCCAAGCTGGGAAATCGATATCATTTGAGGCTTAGCACCCAGGGCGTCCATGCAGGCGCCTGTGGGAAACAGTAGCCCCCCCGGCCCACCGCCCTGCGCTCCTAGGCTCGCAGGTCTCTCAGGCTCGCTGCTTCTTTTGTTTTTAAGAGGAGCATAAAAACGCGCTGGGCGCCAGACCCCCACCGATGGCCGAGGGGACGGTCCCCCGCATATCGTAACGAAGACTGGGGTCCTCCTGTGTAACCTAATCGGCGCCGGAGTCGCCCCTGGAAACAAATGGGGCGACTTCCCCGCCTCAAGATTGGCTTGACCCACACCGTCAGCTACCTCTCTATTGGGTGAATTTATCCCAGGTGTGGACCCTGACCCCCCCCCCCCCCCCTGTTTTGACATCAGAGCTGGGGGTGTGGGTGGTACATCTCCCCCCCCCCCCCCCCCCCCCGACAAAAGACGAATTGCTCCCCCTCCAAGGCCTTCTTCAATGCTGTTTATTTTTGCATAATTGGCAGTGAGCTAGTATATGACGATTTTAGGGTGGGGGGGATTCGTCGTCTGTGCGCCCCTGCAATCGACCTGTCTGCATGGAGACTGAGAAAAAGCAGACCCCAAGCCCCCCCCCCAGCCCAAAGCCCCAGCTTCACCTTGGAGCCCCACCGTAGGATTTATGAACACCTGTCACAGGGGAATGTGACTCATGTGTTCTCACCAAGGCAAACAAACACCCCCCCCCACACCAATCTGGAAATAGTGAGAGGGAATGTGTTGTTTCCCCCCCCCCCAACCCCGAGCTCATCACATGGCCTCCACATCAGGGTCTTCTGGATATCTATCTGTTGCATGATTTGATGATTTGGGCCCTTTCAGCTGGGGATTATGGGACAGGAAAGTCATTCTTTACCTCATCCAAGCGGTAATACACAATATTTGGGAAAAAGAAGGTCATTTTAACTGGATATTTTGACAGGTTTCACAGGTCAGGTTATGAGCTGCTCTGCTCCTCGTGTTCCCACGGAGTCCACCGCGGTGGGGATGCCAAGGTGCCCATCAGGCAGTGTCAAGGCTGTGCCATGTGGCCATCCTGGACCCAGGATTAACCCTCCGGGTAATAGAGTGAAATTATTTTACGTCTCCCGTGCTAGAGCTAAACGAATAAACGAGCAAGCAGAGCGGCGCGTCATGTTAGCAGGAGGGGCCTGGCTGTGGCAAACACCCCCCCCACCCCCGCCCAGCGGACCAGCTGCTTCCAGTTAATGAGATTAGAGAGCGAGGCATTAGCGCTGAATCACTCGCTAGTAAAGGTGAGTCTCTGCACATTGACATTCCGAGGCTGCAGCCGCCCGTCTTCGGGGCAGGCTGCCATTTGGCTGGTTTTCGTTTTGTTTCTCTTTGTTGTGCGTCCCAGGGGTCTTGTAGAAGGCTGTACGGTGTGTGCAATGCCCCCCCCCCCCCGCTACATTTGGGTAGAGCGGGTGCTTCCCAATATCATGCTGGGCCTGGGGTTTGCGTGCTGGGTGCGGGGGGGGGGGGGACCATTTTCCTCGGTGCACCAGGCATGGTTTAAGGTCGCATTCGTGCAGAACACCAATACTGGGGTGCGAGGCCAGTCAGGGTGTGACCACAAGTCCCCTGCACAGACTGCATTCGTGCTGCGGTCGGGCCGCCGATCGCGTGTTTCCCCGGGCGTGACATGGGCAGGTGCGCGGGGCCCGTCTGCACAATTCAGGCGAGCGTGAATTAACCCTTTTAACCCTTTGTATGCTTCGGCTCCCGCAGAGCTGCAGAGAGAGGGCAGCATCGAGACCCTCAGCAACAGTTCCGGTTCCACCAGTGGAAGCATCCCGCGCAACTTCGAGGGCTACCGCTCCCCGCTGCCCACCAACGAGAGCCAGCCGCTCAGCCTCTTCCCCTCGGGCTTCCCCTAGACCAGCCGGCCCGACCAGGAGGCCGCAGCACAACTCATGGAGAAGTTCCCCATCGCCAGACAATCCTGACATTTTGGGGCGACGGGAGGCGCCCCCCCCGCCACTGCGGCTGCCGCTCCTCCAGAACCCCCGCCCAGCCCCCCCACCCGATCTTCCCACCGCACACTCACCCAGGAGCCTCTGAAATTGCACAGCCGATGACAGACTGTTACAGCATCTCACGCCGCCTGGCCGCGGACCTTGACTCGTGTCATATCCTGCGTCTACCTTTGGTTCATTTCCTTCAATGTGTAAGAGTTCATGCAGGTGTGGCTCTGCCCACGGTCTCCGATATGAAATCCCAATGTTTTTGTGGGGAGTGAACGCTGACTCAGGTTGGGGGTGGGGGGTGATTTTTTTGTTGCACGTCCCTTAAGTTTTCTTGCAAGCACCTGGTTTGCCCCCCCAACTCTCCCCTTCCCACTTGTTTGCTGCCCCCTCGCATCGGATTGGTTCCCATGCCAACCGGGGAGAAGTATTCACTTATCCCTGGGAATGGAGCCCAGCAGTTTGTCCCCCAGTCCCCCAGTCCCCCCTCCCCCGAGTCTGCTGAGGTCTTGCTTGCAGTGATTAGCGTGTCTCCGGAAGCACTCGGACCCAGGTAAGCTACTCCTGCATACGACCCAAACCTGTTTCCGTTACTGTTCTGGCTAAATTAACTTCCTCACTGGATTTAGTATTTCATCACTTCCTGAGGCCTGTCCTTTACCTCACTCATCCATAATATGATTTTGTGCACATAATGAATAATTTAAAACATTAAATTGTATGTTTTAAGGTGTTGGATTTAGCCTTTGCTTTCTAGTGTAACTGATCCAGCAGTTCAGATCCCCTGCATGTAAATTTGCCTCCCTTTTCAACTGAATCCATAGATATTAATTAGTTGCACATGTTTAATTGGTGTATTTGGTTTTTTAACCGGGTTCTTAGGTGGGTGGTGTTAATTTAATAAGGAGAAAAGGGACGTTCGGATGCAGTCGGCTTAGCTGGAGAAAGTCAATGCTGTCAGCCTATGTCGGGTATGGCTATTTAGCTGAGGATGCGTCACTATAGGCCTTAAGGTACAGACTGTGTTCAAGGTAAATACACGAGAGATATAAGTAGCTAGGTCTGGAGGGTGTGGCCTTCTTCTGGGATGAGCCTGGGGGTGTGGCCTTCTTCCGGGATGAGCCCTGGAGGGTGTGGCCCAAAACCCAGAGGGTACGTCCCAAAACTTTTATTTGCATCACCCTCCCTCGCTACCTTACCTTCGTCATGGAGGTTTTTCCAAATTCCAGATTTCCCAATACGAGTCATTGAGGGCCAGTTTTCACTCAAATCACCCCTTCACCGGGGTTATGAGAAAGTCTGGTCGGGAGTTACCGAGAGAAGTTCACCCATGCATGATGTGGCATAAAGGCTACTACTTCAGTGATGACTTCATACGTAAAGGCGGAGCATGGTAAGTCATTGAGGATGCAAGTCTGTCCCAATAACGCTTTTTGTCTTTGCTACCTCCTGCTGGCCTCCTGCTGGGAGGAGCCTAAGAGTGTGGCCCACTTCTGGGAGGAGCCTGGAGGGTGTGGCCCACTTCTGGGAGGAGCCTAGGAGTGTGGCCCACTTCTGGGAGGAGCCTGGAGGGTGTGGCCCACTTCTGGGAGGAGCCTGGAGGGCGTGGCCTCCTGCTGGGTGGAGCCTGGGCGTGTGTTTAATGTTTTGTCCTCATCTGGCCCAACTGCTCCCTCGCGAACATTTAACAGCTCGCTCTAGTGGTTTAAAGTCACATTGCCATCGGTAATGTGGCTATATCTGAGGGAAGGGGTGTGTTTAAAAATAATGTGAGCCTCTGACAGTCGGACGGAACTGAATGTGTGGGGACGGACGCCACTTCCTGTTTCCGCTTACGTACAAGCACAACCGTCACGAGTGACGCACCGTTAGCGATGGGGACAGACGCGTCATGACTGATGATTCATTTTGTATAATACCAAGTGGTGGGTCTCATTGTTTGCTAAAAAGACACCCCTGTAATTAAACATACAAAAAAAATACATTTCCACCTGTTTTGTGTCATTGATTTAACAGTAAAATGTGACGTTTTATTTTGAAGCGTTTGCCCTCCGTTTGCACATCACTGTCAGAGGCTGTCATTCGGTGCGGCTGCAAAGCTGTCAGTCCCTGCAGCTGCAGGTCTCTCCGGATGCAGCTCAGGTTAAGGGCTTCACTCCAGTAAAACCGCAGCTCCCCTTGTAGGATGTGGACCAGCTGGCTGTCTCTCATTTCAGAACCCCCCCCCCCCCCATCTCCGCACCTGTTACCGTTACCTGCCTACTGTCCACGTCCCACGAGCAGAATTCAAGTGAGTTTTCCCGACTCCTGCTGGGCTCCCGGCTCTAAACTGCCTTTTACATCATATACAGTTAAGGACACTTAGCGGCATCTGGTCTCCTTCCAAGGAAAGTATTCAAAAAAAAAAGGGGGGGGAGAAATGCGAAGTTAATCTTTCCCCTTAATTTGGAATGTTTTTGAAATGGTCATTTGGGGCTCTCCTTTTGTTAAGCTCCCGTTTTCTGTTCACAACAAAATTCCATCCTGCTTTTAAAGCCTTCAGATCCAAATGCTGAATTGTGGCTTGTGCTTAGAAGTCGGGGAAGAGAAAATTATCCTGTGAGTTCTGCATGTGTGCACTGGGGGGTACATGTATAGTCCTTTGAAGCCTCTCCCAGCAGGAATGGGAGTCGCTGGGTGATGTGTAAAGGACAGCTTGGCGTGGGCATCTACTAGCCACCAGAGCCGGTTGTCCATCACTTGGAAAAGATCCGTGAGGCTGCATGGTCTCCGCAGCTGTGATGTCCTCTTAAACTATTGCCAATCCTGTCAGGTGTAAATGTTTTTTCCAGGGTCCTGGGATATGTTCAGAAGCGAGCTGACTGGTGTTAGCCAGTACAGAACACACCGGAACTGACATAAAGAAATGGCTGCGTAACAGTATAGGATTGTGTGGCTACAGACCTTTGGAAGGTAACAGTCCAAACAAAGTAACCACACTTTCTCTCAAGGTTGCAACAAGCTCATTTTGCAGGCATTGTCACAGCCTCAAAGCAGCTCATATTTTAAGGGGCGGATGAGGATTAAATGAAGGACGTGACATTTTAGCAACATAAAAAATACACAGCCACTTCGAAATGGCTGCTCTGGGGCAATTTGTCATATATAGAGACCTGGACAGAAATACCTAACACTAAAGCGAAGGCTCTTATTGTGTCGCTTGTTCTGAATGGGGTTTACGCTTCAGGAAAGCAAAACTATGACAATGCTTTAATCTCAGAGATCTTTATTGTGGGGGAAATGAAACAGACTTGTGGCAGAGTTTCTGGGAAATGTGTTGACAGGGCATTTAAATCAAACCATTTTAAAACCTCAGCAGGCATAAGATGTATTGTTTTAACAAAAAAAGCCATTTTACACTCAAAGTCACTTTTGTTGTTCAGAAGCGCTCTGCTTTTGCACACGTAGCACTCTCTTCACAGCTCTAGGCTGTCACATGACTTTTTTTTTTTCTAGGAAAATGTAATGTGTAAACGGGGGTGAGGAGACCAAGCATAGACCTCCTCGGGTGTGAATACCGCTCTACACTCACCTTTTCTGGTTCTGACTCACTTGAAGCCAACCGGAGCCGGTATCATAAGCAGGAGCTTCTACTCGCGGGCACTGCACACAGGTTTGGTTCCCCGGTCATGTGGTTCCACCAGTATGAGCTGCAGCAACTGGGAACAACATACCAGTGAAGGAAGTGAAGGCTGGTCATTAATGGAGCAGAGGCTGCACCACCGTCCGTTCCATTCAGGGGTATTTGGTGTGGGGGGGGGGGGTTGTGGAATAGACAAACAAGCTGCACACCACCGGTCAAAAGATCAAAGGACACAAATGAGGGTGATGTTCCTAGAACAAGAAAACAAAAAGTGTGCGTGGGGAGTATTTACTTAGCTTTCAGAACACAAAAATGGCTGAGTGAGAACTCAACAGTCACTGCGCCGTGTGCATTCAGCCAGCAATCAGGTAATCTTTTGATCTCGGGCGACAGTTTCCCGAGGACGGCCGCGGCCGGAGCCGGGCGTAATGCCGGAGCCGTTTTCCTGCCGAGTTCCTCGGGACTGACGCGCTGCGGGGCGGTGGCTCACCTTACCTGAGCGCCGAGTGCGACTGTGAGAAGGTCAGCACAGCCTCTCTGTGGTATATGGCAGCCGGACGCACCTCCCTGGGGGAGGGGGGGGGGGGGGGG